TAATTTAGGGTAATACAATGGAATAGAACTTACAGCACTCTTCCCTATTTTCATTCAAACTTTTACATATAGTACAGGGTTCTTTAAAAAAATTTTTCAAGCATGTCCATGGAAGGTGTTACAGCTGTACCCTTTACCTGTATCAAGAAAAGATCTGGGGAAAACAAGCCATTTAAGCATTACCAAGAAGCGAACTGATCTATTTCTTCCATATGTTCATTTGCTTACTTGTGACACCAAGCCCCCCAAACTCAGGAACACTGTCTCAGCCCACATTCACTGGCTCTGAGACTGGTGCTGCCTGAGTTCCAACACCTGTTTGGAAATAACAGAAAAGAAAAGGAAGGAGAAGTAACAGGAGGGGAGAGTCATGCAGGAAGAAAAGGAATTAGCGGTTGGAGGCCACACCCAACCAAAACCCTCACAAAACCTTGAGAAACACGGTAAGATATCCTCTCCAGGTACGTCGGTCCCTTACAGAGGAAAAGTTCCAGAGAACTTAAGGCAGCTCTCGGAGGGAAGGGAGCAGGGGTTAAGGCGGTCCTCACAGCACGCCCTGAGAAGAAATTACAACGCACTTAACCATGAACGGAGGCCACAGCAATACACACAGCCTCTCTGACACGCATGCACATAGCGTACCTCCTAGCTCCAAAGTAAACACCGGCAGCATGCACACACCAAAATGTCCAAACACATGGACGTGGATACGGCTTGCCCACAGACAGGCCTCAGAAGGTACCCAGGGGCTTGACGGCCGGCTGCATAGCTCGTCTGGTGGCTCTTGTGCTGGCTCTGAGGAGTGTGTGTGTGGAGACTGACTTTCCTCTGAACTTTTGGGAGGCTTTCACTGCTTCCAGTCAGTTTGAGACAGCCTGCCACTAATTAAAGACCTAAGCACAGGTGTTGCACATTTCAAGGGAGCGCTGACTCATTACAAAAATCACACCTAGTTATAGAAGGTAACTGACAAAAAGAAAGCCACCAGGCTCTGGGCACTTCATCTCATTAGCACAGACAACCTGGTCCTTGGCGCTTGCTCAGTTCCCGTATGCCTGTTGCCAATTTTGATAAGAAAAAAAAAAAAACCACCTCTTGTTGACCCAGGGTACCCCATGGGTACCAGGAGAAACCAAATGTCACCTCAAGATCTTTTACTTTCCTGCTCCCACCTGCCACACTGACACTGCTACATTCAGGAAAGCGGCATGGCAGGAGGGCTGTGTGACCTCAGCAAGTCACTGACCTCTTTGTGTAGCATCAGCAAGTGACTATAGTAGCTACCCTTTCTGCCTTCCAGTGCTGTTGTGAGGACACAATGAGGTAACAGAGGAAGTGCGCTGAAGAAAAGCATAGCCAGATACAATGTCCTGTTCTGCACTACTTTCAGCAGGAGAATCTAAGGGTCACATGCTAAGTTTTGCTTTCTATTTTATTCTAAACAATTGCAGTTACCCAGAGGATCCTTGATTATGCCTCCTGGGGAACTCTACATTCTGGTAACTGTGTGTGGGGGGGGTGGGGTGGGGAGGGGAGAGAGAGAAAAAGAGAGAGAGAGAGAGAGAGAGAGAGAGAGAGAGGGACAGACAGACAAGGTGGGGTGGGGAGGGCAGGTTGGTGCATGAATATTATGTGAGGATTTCTCAGGACAGGACAGGTACCCCTTGACCTAGGGTTACCAGGATAGTAATTTCTTAAAACAATCACTACACTGAAATTCCCAATATTTTCATAGCCTCCCTCACATGGTATTAAAAGATCTGATCTGTGTTATGCATAATTACTCACCCAGAAAGAGCCAAAGGGGATAAAGCAAATCATACAAACTGACCAGGATCCTCAAATTTCCTTTTGGTGGGCTTTGGAATGTATCTTTTTGTACTTTTGCACTTGACAAAAGAAGTGTCAGGTACATGGATATTTTTCAAAACTTCCAAAGGAATCACTTTATGGATCTTATTTTCCCTCTTCTTTATAGTAACGCTCAGGTCAGGCAGACCAAAGCCTTAAGCCAAGGAAAGCTACAAGGAAAACTGCTCCTAATTTTTCAGCCTTGCATTCCAAGGTATGAGCTAGGTCTATAGGTAAGGTGAGTGAGGAGACTATTGAGAAGGGGCTACGAAGATAGGACTGTGTTCTTTCAAGATTTTTCTGTGAATCCCTACTGTGTGTCACAAGGGAATTATGAAAAAGCAAATTAGTGATAATGTTAAAGAATGTACTGCTGAGAAGCGAGAACAAGAAGTTGTGCAAAGATCGGCCTGAAGTCAGGCCAGGGGGGCAATTGAGGACTGACTCTACTGCCTTCAGCACAGTCAGAGCAGGTGAGCAGACAGGCAAGTGGTGTATGGTCCAGCTGAGGGAGGGGAAAGAGTGAACAATGGAATGCGCGGCTGGAAGGCTGGGGAAGGGATGTTTGAAGTTGGGTGAGGAAATGTGGTTGGAGAGAGGGTGGGCTGTCCTAAGAGGGGCTCAAGGAAACCCCTAGTAAACAAATAACTGTTGCATCCTCAAGAAAGTAGCACACGGAGTCATTTATCAGGTCTTGGGGTTCCCTGGTTGTAAGGTTGTAGTCTTGTAATGACTAAAGATCTTTATGTCGCTAAGAGAAGTTAATTCAGATCCCCATCTCGGGTTCTGGGTAGGCCTTGGAGGAAGCTGGAGCCTGGAATAGTAGAGTCTTTGCGTGGCCATCACTGAACAGGAGAGATTCTGGCCCAGGTGTGGAACAGAGGCTTCAGCACTTTCCAGCACAAAGGCAGGAGACAAGAGAGAGATGTTTGAGGATATGAGCCGTCTGGGCTCAGATAAAGGGCTGCAACGGCAGTAGGAGCTACAGCATGCTCTTGAAGACCTGACAAGATTCAGGGCATGCACATTACACAGGGACTAAGCTGGGAAAGGGCCCAGGAGGATTTCCAGGTCTGAGGTGGACAGCCTGCATCATCATGACATTTTTTTGGCGTTTCCCCTGTGCAATGAGTCAGTACTCTGGCACATTCAGTACTAACCAAGAGGTAAGAGTTCATTGTTCACTGAAAACCACATTGACAGTTGGGGAAAACTAAGAGAACCTGATTGGATCAGTAGTGTTTTTGGCTGGTTTTGCAAATAAATAAATGTATCCAAACTGAATATGGCAGTACATGATTCAATAAAAATTACTAAAACTAATTCACTTTCTAAAAGCATGTATGTAAATCATGTACATTTAGGAAAGGTTATAGCTACACCAACTTGTGGCTTTACATTTTATTAATCCCCTAGAATTAACAGGCACCAAACAGTGATCTTTCAATTAGAGGGTGAACTCACTGAGTAACTGTATCTAGTTTTTCTAGGACCTAAGAGCCAAAAGGAGAGAATTTTAGATGTGGAAGGGTCCAACTCTCTTACTGTATAAATGAGGAATGTGAGGCCCAAATAAGTTAACAGACAGTATTTATCTTTTAATAACAATCTTTATCATTGATTTGAAACTGTTTGACTTCCATTAATATTGCACATGTATTAATAAGATGTCATTTTTCATAGACCATCTAACAGTTAAGTTATATAAATCTATGATTGTAAATCAGAACCAGAGTTTCTAATGAAAACTAAGAATTTGCTTTTGCACAACCTGAAAGATTTACTGTATAGGATGTCCAGGAAAAACTGAGAATATGTTTAATTAGAATTTCAGAATGAAACTTATAGGATCTGGCTCTTACTGAAACAAATCCTCTAAAATTCAGCAGTCTTCTTATATAAGTCTTAAAGTATTTCTAGTATTATGCTCTTTAAAGTATCTAGTGGTATTGAGAACATTTATAGAAGTTGCAAAGCCTAAAAAAATGGAATCATAGTATTTATTATATACCTTGTTTTGCATAATTTATAGGATAATCAAGGTTTCAAGACCCGAACCATGACTATGCTGACACTCTTCTCTAGATAGTGACTGAGATTAATTCTTAATAAATTAAGAAGAAAGAAAACCTGGCTGGGTTGAAAATATGCAGTGTAGGAATCTGATCTGGGAACTAAAAATAAGTCACTTCACAGAACACTGTACCCTGATGTGATATCCACCCAGGGAAAATTAATGAGCACATCAATGTAATACATTCTGAATAAATAACGACATCAACAATAGCCACTTTGTCTAATCCTATCCCTAAATGTCAAACATTTTGTCATATTACTACATGACTTCCCAGTGTCCGCTACTCGTGCAGGGGAATCTGTATATATTTGCACATAATCCAGTTAAAATGGTCTGATTGAATTGTAAACAGAGTTGATAAAAGAGAAGCTTACTGTTGTAGTGCCTAATAAGAATATCGCTTACATGTTAAAGTATACAGTATGTAGCAGCAATTTAAAATGCTCAGTAAACTACAGTACAAATGGACTTCTATGCTATATGGCAAACCAACATTCTCTTAATATCTCTATATCAGAGTGACACATATAAGGAAGTTACTTGACCAATTACTTTACATATTGCCAGTTTATTTCTTTGATCCAGTTTGACAATATCAACATAATTGATTCCTGAACTGATATGATATGTACTCAATGGCAATTTTTCTTTCAATTCTTCTGGTTCACACAGAGGAGGTTCTTTGTTGGTGCCTTCCTAACAACAGCTCATAGCTGGAATTTACATTTTTACCATACCATTAGGATGCAGTGCTAAGGATTGAAAATAAATGCTGGCAGCTGGAGACACTTTTCCCCCTTCTGTCTGCCATTTACCTGCATGTAACTCAGGATACCTAACTGATCAAGGGTGAGTGTTGCTATGAATTAAAGGTAACACAGTACAAAGAAGCCTATCTGTCTTTCCAAGGTGATGAAAGTATTTAGGGAGATTTCCAGTTAATAACCTCTTGTTTGAAAGATACTCAGTACTTTCTCTTTAGAGCATATTTTCAGTAGCTCACTGGAAATAATGGGTTCTTATTTCAGGCAAGAAATTTACTGTCACTGTTTGCCTTGACATCACATCACTTTCAGACCCGTGATATGAATCCCAGGCCCAGGCTGGCTGGAATTTGGATGGTTTCTAGTGCGAGGGAGGATGGATTAAAAGGAAAGGTGACAGGAAAGATGTGTTTAGCATCCATGAGCAGCTGAGGAGAGTCTTTCCTGTCTCGTAAACGCATCTGAGATTTAAAAACAAAAAACAGAACATCAGTTCTTTGAATCTACAAATATTTTTTTCCCACCAAAAATCTACCAAAAAGTCTTCAACTGCTAAAGAATGTTTATATTTGTTTTAAAATCACTGCATTTTTTCTAATAATCTGTTACCAAAAGTTAATGCACTGTCAGAATGAGATAATACAATAACAAAACCACACTTTCCTTCAATAAACTGTCAATTTCCATTCAAAAGACTGTATTGGTGAATCAAAGGAAAAGAAAGCCTGGGAGATCTTACCTGTATAGTACGAATAAATGATACAGAGACTCTTTCTTCAAACTCATTAACTGGAGTATACAAATTCAACACTTTGACAATCTGTGAGAAATAAAATGATCAAAGTTTTCAGCATATAACCAAATATACACTGGGTGCTGATAATCTGGGAAACTAAAAGGATCTGTGCATACAGTTTATAATTCTACTCAGGGCTGGGTTGGGATGAGGGAAGAGGGAGCTAGTCTAAAGGGCACATTTACCTTTACTATGTGAATTTTTAAAATAAGAATGTATTAATGTATTATCTGTACTTTTAAGAAGAAATATAAATCTGGAAAAACAATCAAACTATACAAAAGAACACAACATGAAAAGGAAAAGTGTCTCACTCAATCTTCCCAGTCTACCCAAATGTCAACTTTTAACAGTGTCCCTAGTTTCCATCTAGCTGCTTTCTATACATATTCTATGTATAGTTTGTGAAGATGTCTACGTTATGAGATGCGTAAAGAACATTAAGAAAGCCCAAGAGTCAGCATAGAAATAACTGGCAAAAGAAAAATGGGTAAGGTTTATGCCTATTTCTTGCCTCGTGCTGTTGCCACTGTCCTCAAATGTCCTTCTCACTTCCTTAAATTCAATACCCAGCTTAATGGAGCCTTCCTCGAACACAGGGACTGCCCCTTGGCACTTCCTTTAGACATCTTACTATAGAACTTGCTAGAACCTCTTATAGTAGAATCAGTTAGGTACATCTGCCTTGTCTACTAAACTGGAAATTCTTTTTAGCCAAGGATTGTTTCTTATTTTTTGAAGCATCTCCCCCAGCAACAGGTATGGTACCTCAAGATAGGAGCTCAATTAGTCATTTATTGAAATAAAGGAATAAGAATAATCTGTCTTAAAATAGAGAAGTCTAAAATATCATTCAATTATCAAATAGTATGGAAAATTACTTTTTGGAATACAGGTTCCATAGAATGCAGACAATGTACATCCCATGAGAGCAGGGACATTGTTTTGTTCTTGGTTGTATCTCAGTGCCTGGGACATTATGCAGAACACTATACACACTGAATAAATATTTACTGAGAGGCGCCTGGGTGGCTCAGTCAGTTAAGCATCAACTCTTGATTTTTGACTTAGGTCATGATCTCACGGTTCATGAGCCCTGTCTCGGGCTCTGTGCTGACAGTGTGAAGCCTGCTTGGGATTCTCTCTCTCTCTCTCTCTCCCTCAGAATAAATAAATAAACATTAAAAAATAAATAAATATTTATTAAATGTTGACTGTGGATGACTGAGTTGCTAGTAAAGTCTCCTTTAAGACCTGTATAGGTATATGTCTTCTCTGACACATATGAAGTCAGCTCAGAGACCAGAGCAATGGCTAGGAGACCTCCTCACTTCCCTGAGCAGCACCCGTGAGGAGTGCTACCTTACCGCACAGCAGGGCAAAGTGTTTTACCTGGGCAGTAGTTAAAGCACTGCACATGGAACAGATGGCTTCTGCATCATCATCTGTCTTCTTTTTCACTTGCAAAAGCTGCGCAGCCTGAATGAGAGGTTCCAGGGTTTCTTTAGCCCCACTGTTCATCAGATTCTTGTCACGCAGCCACTCTTCCAGTTGACTGACATTGTACCTGTGCCAAAAAAACAGAGAGGGAGAGAATGCAAATTCACCGAATGTTATCATAAATGTCTTAATTTTTTATGTATGGCTTTGTCAGGAATTTCAGTTAAAATGACAGCCAGTATTTTTGTTCAATTTTCTTAAATCTTACCAGTGCTTAAAATTTTATTATAGCCATAAGGTTTATAATCATAATTATATAAGAGTAAGTGACTAGAGAATATAATTAACTTCAATGGAAGGTAGAAATATAGCCATTACAGCAAAAGTTATGAAATATGACTTGCTGAAAGACAAAATAGAACACACAATATGGCTGTGTCCTTATTAAACAGCTGACCGGAAAACACTTTCTAGCTTCTCTTACAATTTCAGAGGGTAGAATCAATAACCTCTGAGTATCCATTCCTCTTTATTACAGGTTAAATTCCAAGTTAGTCAAGAAAAACAAGATCCTTCCACACAGACCTTGTGCTCCAGCTCTGTTTAGGGAAGAGCCTGGGTGATAGGGTAGTGGCCTGAGGAAGCTCAGGGATGGAAGGACAGCAGGGTAAGTGGGGGCCGCTGGAAGAGACGAAGACTCCAAATATGGAGAGAGACATGGAAACTGCACAGACGCCAAGGTTACAAGAGGTGGTCAACCAAGTGACAGTGGTTTTCATACTAAAATGCTAAAGGGACGCATGAGCAGCACTGCACAATCAGGCAAATAGGAGACCGCATGTTATTACGATGGTGCTTCACATGTATAAACAAAGCTTACAGAGAAATAAATCCTACTACTTGAGTGGGAGGCATTATCTTTCTAACATTAACTACAATGGCTGTGCGTCAGAATAGAAAATTTGAAAAGAATGCCAAGGTTTCCTGAGATTAACTTTTGTAAGAGAAATCCTTTTTTCCTCTCTTGGCAAATATTCTATTTTAAAATAAATGATTTGCAAAAAAAAAAATCAATTCTATTATGAGTATGAGGTTATGTGGTGGAGTAGTTGGGCATAAAACTGAGTGCACATTTTCTTAAGAGATGAGGGGCATATTTGAAGTTAGTAACAGATCTATTAGACACGTTCTTGTTACCATGGTACAAAAAGGTGTTTTGTCAAAATAACTTTCTAAGAGAAGTCAAGCATCAGAAATCTTCATTATAAAGAATTAGCTATTTTGTTATGTACAATTAAAACACATGCAAACGGCGAGGAAGCAGCTATCTCAACTGTAAGAATTTTGCATCATCTTCTCTCCATTCCCTCAAACAAATTAGCGTCACAGTGGAGCGGGGTTCCCAACTAGTGGTGGGTAGAGCCTGCTGAAAGGCACAGTCAGGAGCGGTAATGAATGAAAGTGGAGAAGCCCAGCCAGCCAAGAGAAAGCAGCTCCATGTCCGGTCCTCCCGTGCTGCCCGGCTGGCGGTAGCAGACACTGGGTGCACTGACCTCAAACAAGCCATCAGCTTTGGTGTTCGCTCACCTGATCTGCATGCCTTTACTCCAGGAGCACATGTCCTTCCGCAGAAGGAGGTTGTTCAGGGTGATGGCCCCAACAATGTAGAACATCTGTTTGACCACCTGCTTGATCAGTTCAGGGTCCATGCCGTGCTGACACATGACTGAATGGAAGGAGTTGAGCTGCCGGAGGATGGAGTCCAGTGTATAGGTGCCCTCGTCAGCGATGCTGGAGGTTCGCTTTCTTAGCCCTGTGGGCTTCACCCCAGACACGCCCTGAATGGTTTCATGCTCCAGCATGCCAGAGACTGCGGGAGTAGTTCAAGTGTTAGAAGAGAAGATGCGTGTTCCACGTGCATACACGCATGCTCACACATGCTCTCACACATTCAATTGAGGAAGATCATCTGAGTATCAAAACAGAGGGAGAAGGAACTTCCCAAAAAGAGGGCTTCCAGATTTTAAACTTTAATGAAGGAATAATTCTTAAATGCGAAAATTTACCATGAAACTAAGAAATCGTAATGGTGTATTTTCAAATATAGGAAGCAGCAACCTTATAACAACACAAGTGTGTGATATCTTGGGAGGGTTTTTGAGAAAGATGTAGCAGTTAGGGAGAAGATAAGATATTCTCCAGGGATATCTGAACCCCACAGGCAAACAAATTAAGTAGCAAGTACAAGAGGAGATTGGGCAGTGGTTGTGGAGAAGCCTTGAGAGGAGATGGTCGTGTGGGGCTGAAGAACTGGGCCATTCCTTGCCCTGAACTTTCCAAAGTGGCAGAGAGGCCCCGGGGTTAGCCTCAGCCTCCCAGAACTCAGTTTTCTCGAATCTGGGGCACTGCTGCTCCCTCCACTGTGCCCTCACAGTGCTTGGCTTATGCCCCCTCGAGGATGGTTGTGGGATGACCACCGCTTGGACTGACAGCGCCTTGACAGCAGGGGCCATTCCCGATTCAGTTTTTACATCTCCTATTCATTTACATCTCACAGTGCTAAACGTGGCTTCCATAGCACCTGACAATGACACAAAACACTGGTGGTTATTATCACATCACTGGGAGATGGGGAAAGCAGTTTAAAGGGGGGCATCTTGGAGGTAAACTTCTTATTTAGCCAATAAAAATAGGCAAAAATAGAAGAAATATTGGCTGAAGTTGACCTCTGTGTCTGTGTCACCTCTTACATTGTAGTTGACCTAGGTCGCTTTGAACACAACCTTTAGGGGACAACTGAAGAACTGATGACTGAAGTTGTCCTGTGAAGAAATCACTGCTATCTCCCATGGCCTCCTCAGCCTTTTTGGTTTCTAGTTGGTTAATTGTGGGCCTATGATGGAAGACAGAATACTAAAGGCAATGAAGAAGTTGTGGAAATGTGGGAAACACACAGGTAGGAAAAGAAAGTGTAGCTGGGAGTAGCCTTAAGAAGGTGTTGCTGATTTGCCTGAAGATAACAGAGTTTGATAACTTAATACAAATTTAATTCAGTGCATTCAAAACTAGCATCCTGCAATTTATATATGCCTCCTAATTCCTATTTCATGAATGCTACCCATTCCGAAGGAATAGAGGTAGTATAGTACATAAATACACACTCAGAGTGAGCATACGCATATAAAAGAGAAGTATGTGGACTCACACACCTAGCTGAATACACATATATAGAAACACACACACGTGCACACCCCAGTCACTCATCCACTGAGAAAATGCTACTTTAAACCAAATTGCCTTTAACAATTCCGTAGTGGCCACAAGATGAACAACCCACCGTGGAGTGTCTGACACCTATTCTTGTTGCTGTGGTACCCCGCAGCCCTTTTACTGTAGCCTAATAGGCAAAGTGCAAACTCTCCCCAGCCTCCTTAGTCTTAGATGGGCCCTGAGGAGGCTCAGTGTAGCAGTGTCCTGGACCAGAGTTTAAAGTTTTAATTTTTGAAAACTGGACAAGGTATGAGGTATATTGATGGGTATATAGCATAACCCGGTCTTAAGGGAGAGGACTCACACAGTGGGGAGATTAACTAGATACTGCCATTTCGATCATATGGAAGCAGTGATTCTGATGTATCCCAGTTAGTCACGGCTGGGGTTCTGGGATTCCTCAGCTAATTTCAGGACTGGGTCTTACTACTTTATGTTCTTTGTATGAAGAAACAAATGCCACTGGTGGGCACATGAGGTAGACAGACCTCGATGTCAGCAATGCTCTCGCCTTACCGATCATTGGCTGAAGGATGTTCTCTAACACCCGCACGAGCTGCTGGTAGATCTGAATGGCTAAGTCACTTAGCACCTGCCGGTACTCAGCCAGGTCAAAGTTGGTGAGGCAGTGTTCATTCTGGCGAGACGTGTTGTGTTTCATAAAGCCCTAGAGCCATAAAGCAGAGTTACTGACACCTGTGAAATAAAAGCTCTCTTCTAACTCCCTCGTTTGATCAGACGTCTCCTGCTGTCTTTCCTCTGAAGAGTTTCCTGTCTGCTCTGCTCTTGAATGCCAGACAGTCATTCTCAAATGCTGGTGTTTGTTTCCATCATATTCCCCTTCCACTTCTTACTAGCTTTTGAATTGTATCTAAAGTTGGCAAGCTAGCATTCAGTGAAACAAGATGGGGGAACTTAGTTTAAAAAAAAAATTAATGAGTGTTTTCACTTATGAAGCAGTAGGTTTACTGCCAAACAGTAAATTATCTAAAGCACTAATCTCTTAACTTCCTATTTATAAATATTGTACCTGAAGGGCATACATCATCTTAAACTAGACTGGCTTCTACAGAGATTGGTGAATAAAAAAAAAATTTCCCTTCATTATATTTCATTGTAACCATACGTGATTTTCAATCCAAGCTTAGAATGGAATCTTTTGGTGGTATGAGCTAAAATGGGAAGCCAACTGTACAGGCAGGTACTTTTGTCAGACGTTGCCTGACAAAAGGCAATTGCCTGTTTGATGGATTCTGCACATAATCAAGCATGTGCCTCCCTAAAACTACCTAACAACATGGTCAGAAGTGGGGACTGACAGGACAGTTAATGGCCCCTCGGGGGGATTCTAGTCTATCTGTCCCACCTACTCAGGGAGCACGTCTTACTCATATTGATATTTTCCGTCATTTGCCGGGATAGTCCCCTGCTGCTAGCCTCTTGGTGCCCAGAAAATGCTACGGCTCAGCTTCTCTGGCTGCTCTCCCAGCACAAGGTGGAGGTATGGAGGGCAGTGGTTAGGGGCACAGGCTCTTGGAGGTGAGCAGACCTAGAATTCTAGCACTGCTCCTTATGGCTAAGAGAACCTGGGCAAAATGATGAACTTCATCGAACTTCAGTTTCCTCATCTGTAAAACTGGGTTATAATCCCTACCTTACAGAGATGTCGCAAGAATTAAGTAACATAGAGTAAGTACTATCTGATATATACTGAGCAGACCTTAATAAAGAGTAATTATTAATAGATTACAGTATTGAAATATTAGTTTTGAAGTCTAGTAAACACCTGATGAACATATCACTACAAATAAAAGCAAAACAGGTTTTGGGACCAGTCTAGAGAGACATGCCTTAGCTTGATCACCTTTCATGCATTTGGAAAGCCCAAATCGATGAATTTCTTTAAATAGTTCTATATTTCTCATATCAGTCCTTGAAAAGCCCACTTCCACATGCTGACAAGAGGTTTCACTGCTGGTAACAATTCATCGACAAATGCTCATTTTATTTCTGCTATGCTTCATCAAAATACAAACTCTCAGAGGGAAGAAACTATGTCACTGTCTAAATCACTGTTTCATAAACAATGAACATCAAACAAAGCTACAGCATCCAAGCCACCTCTGAACTCAGGCTTCTAAATTAATGGCTAAACGTTTTGTGCTTTTCAATTTTTCCCTAAAAAGTTCACAAAGTATATCACACTGGTGTTTTAATGAAGGTTTTCTCACCTCTTCTCCACTGTACTGCTTCAAACAGTGCAAAAATCGGCATGTGTTAGAGAGCCAGAAGGAGACGGTTTCAAAATCATCACCTCTTTTCTGAAAGAGAGAAAAAGGCTAAATTCACTTTTCCTTAGGGAAATAACAACCTGAAGGAAACTGAACAGATACCAGAAGGCCTCAGCTAAATTATAAAGAATTACAAAAATAAATCACATTGCAAAGTCTTACATCATTGCTAGAAAATTTCAACCGAGTTTGTTGGTTGGTTGTTACTTTGCTTGGCATCTAGTTTCTTGCCATTAGAAAAGGATGCCCAGTCACTCAGTTGATGTCAGTTTAATGGTCCCTTTCAGCAGAAAAAAATTCATCAAGCCACAGCTTACCCCAACTCACTTCCTTCAGGATTACTAAGGGGATCAGAGAGGACTAAAAGCATAAAAGGGAATCACAGACTATGAAACGCTGAAAGCCGGATTAGGTTACAAATCAGGTCAACAGTAAGATACAATTCCTGAGCAGAGAATCAGAAACGGGATGAAGGAAGTCCTGTGCAGAAAAGGAGACAGGGGAAGCTGAATAGCTCTTCATCAGGACTGGGGCACATGTCAAACAACCAGTTGCTAAATCAAAACAGGGACTCAAGGGGCGCCTGGGTGGCGCAGTCGGTTAAGCGTCCGACTTCAGCCAGGTCACGATCTCGCGGTCCATGAGCTCGAGCCCCGCGTCGGGCTCTGGGCTGATGGCTCAGAGCCTGGAGCCTGTTTCCGATTCTGTGTCTCCCTCTCTCTCTGGCCCTCGCCCGTTCATGCTCTGTCTCTCTCTGTCCCAAAAATAAATAAACGTTGAAAAAAAAAACAAAACAGGGACTCAAGGCAAATACACTTCAATCCAAAACTGGGATGTGAGACAAGCTCACATCAATTTTAAACGGTATTGAAAGGGTGTTATATTCTAGTACCCATCCCTTTTTAATTTTCAAACAATTTGATATAAAAATTAGTTAAATTAGAAAAATGTCTTCTTGCAATTAAGATGAGAGGGAGAAAACGCTTTGGTTTTGTGGTCTTTGCAGGAGCTGACTTACAAATTAGTAAAACTTGCAGGCTAAGTGCAATATAGCATCAATACACCAAAAATGAAATGAGTTATATCAGAAGACATTCATCAATTTTTAAACGTTAAATCTTCAGAAACCCCATGTTTTAGTAACCACCATAAAACTAACTGCATAGCATATCTGCACAGCAGGGATGGAGAATCAGCATTTGTCAAAGGTTCACTAGCAGGGACTGCAGGGAGGGTGTGTTCAATGGGGACAGAACTTCAGTTGTAGGGGTATGAAAAAGTTCTGGAGGTGGACAGTGATAGGGTTGGCACAACAATGTGAATATGCTAACGGCACAGAACTAAGCACTGAAAAATGGTTATGCGGTAAATTTTATGTTATATATATTTTACCATAATTTAAAAAATAGTGCATTAAAGACATCTTAGATTTGAAAGCATCCACTGGGCATGTTAACTACCTACTTATCTCCATCCTAAAAGTTCTCATCTAACTTCAGTTAGATAACCAGAAAGCAAAGTGCTTGGAGAACATTTTCTTAGCTCCTCATAGAAACACGTGAGGTAAAACTAAGTATAATGTTCATTGTTTTTCTAGAGAGGCAAGAGGAGTATTATGCAAGGTGACTCAGTGACTACTGAGTTATGTAGGGCTTTCTACTCTATTACATAATTCTGCTGCCGTTTCCAAATCTTTCCTCTCTGTTAGTATCTATGTGTTGCTTCTCACATGGAACCAGGCATTTCAGGTAACAAGGAAAATTATGGGGTGAGTTGGAGAATAAGAGGAAGAAAAGTTGGAAGAAAAATTATAATGTTTTATCAGACATCTTTTTATATGAATGAAACATATGGTATTGAACTTATTTAATACCTTTCTAACTAGAGCAAATTACTTCCTAGATATATGGATCACACTAAGTATTTTTAATTTACTTTTAAGACCTCAAAGCAGACTATTTCCATTTATGGAGAAACTTAATTTACTCTGCACTTAGGTACATTTATATCAAATTAATTTTGATTACTGTTCAACCTGAGCCCCAGTGTAAAAGAAGGCATACAGACGTGTTGCAAGAAAGAATGCTTCCTATAGTGGAAGTTATCAGTGAAGACTGCAAAGTGTCATATCTGGCAACTTAGCTCCAGCTTAAGGAAGGAAAAGTAACTTGGGGCAGATTCTGTCATCATTAAGATTAATTATGAGAATTTTGTTGAACATGAACTGACCTTTAATACTTTTTTGATGCTGTTAATTGTTGATGTTAGCAATGACCTTACTTTCTGATCATCATTCAGGTAGTCAGCATGTCGAACACACATAAACAGGATATACGCTGGTAACCCTGGAATCAAATTGACTGCCACACCACGTGGCTTCAGTTCTGAAAGGAAATGAGGAAAAATAATCTTATATAACACTGAAAGTCTTCATGAGGAATGTTTTGTAAGATACAAAAGCACAGTTCTTGTGAAAGAATTCAATCATTCAGGGCTAAGAGGTCACACTAAAAAAAGAAGCATTTTAATAGCTCATTAAGTAGAGAAATTTTGAGTCTTAGTTGGGACGTATGAATCTTAGTTGTCTATATAATGACAACTCCCAAGTTTATATCTCTTGCCCTGACTTTTCCCTTGAATTCCAATTTAATGTATCAACTGCCTTCTTAACACCTCTGCTCAGGCACATCGAACTGAGTCCATTCCAAACCAAGCCCTTTGGAACCTGCTCTCCCAGGAGCTGTCCCCTTCTCAGTTAAATGGCAGTTCCAGACTTCTGGTTTCTCAAATCATGAGCTTAGTCAGCATCTTTGACTCATTGTTTTCTCACACCACACATCTAATCCAGTAATAAGTCCTATTGGCTCTACCTAGAAAACCCATTCAGAATCCAATTACTTACTCTACTGGCCATCCTAGAATAGACTATGCTCTTCTCCTGGACTGTAGTGATGGCTTCCAGACTAGTTTCCCTGATTCATCCGCTGCTCCCTAATAGTACATTTTTCACACAACAACCAGAGTGACTCTATACAAAGATGTAGGTCAGATCCTGTCACTCTTGTCCTGAAAATCTTCCAAGTTACTTCTCATCCATTTATAAAACAAAAAATCTTCACTATGGTCAGTGTGATCTGGCCCTGTTCCCTTCCCCAGCTCACAATGAATCTCCTTGTTGTTGGTTGAATATGCCAGGCATGCTACCACTCCAGGGACTATGTACTTACTATTTTCTGCCTGGAATGTTCTTTCCTCAGATATCAGGATGATTTGCCTCCTTACCTCCTTTGATCTCTGTTCAAAGATCACCTTATTGAAGACAACTTTCTGGACAGTCTTATATAAACTAATACATTTGCCTTTACTCTTTATCCTTTTCCCCATTATATGTCTATTTTTTCTCTGTTCCCCACCATCCCCCAATGTAAGATCTATGAGAATAGAGACTTTATTTTCGTTCAGTATCCAGTACCTAGAAAATACTTAGCATGTGGTAGGAGCTCACTAAATGTTATTGAACTGATGAATCTTTGTTAACTCTATGCTTAAAAACCAGTGGCTTCTAAACATTTTTGCTAAATAAAGATCATGCTGAAACTTAAGTGCCTCTGCACCTATATATAGCACTCATGCCATGAACCCTGGGAACATTAAATCAAGTATAATTGCCAATCACATTACTGTCACCCCACACCTGTGGGGAGGAATGCTATGCAAAAGCTGAGAAGAGAGGTTTTTTCCCTTTTTCAGTTCACAACTTTCAGGCTGTGTGCACTCCCTACTCACTTCCCACTGTCCCCTAAAGAGTCTTCTTGCAGAGCCAGGGGGCTTACACACAATCTTAACCCTATGCTGCTCTGAAATGCTTCCTTCATGTCCATTTCATTTGTTCAGTCCTCTCCTTCCATTGCTGGGATCTTTTCCCTAATTCTTTTGTTTCTTCTCTTTTACCAAACTGTTGTTCTTGACATATTTAGTTGTCAAAGGAAGCAAGGAAAAAATGAGATTCAGGAAGTTCAGTGGCTGAGACCAGTGGGTGTTCAACTGTGGCTTACACTTCAGAATCCTTTGAAAGATTGAAAAACATATACCAGACATGGTCAGGCTCTTCCCTCTAGAGATTTTGATGTAATTAGTCTGTGGTGGGGACTGTACGTTAATACTTCTCAAAAGCTTCCCCAGATAATCTAATCTTCAGCCAGAGCTGAGAAGCCCGGGCCTCAAAGGATCGTGATAGGTCGATTCCAGACCAGTCTCCCTGCAGGTTGACTGCAGCATGACGTGGTCAGGATGCTGCTGCAGCAGGATCACGCACAGTATGCAGTGATGACTAAAGAAACCAGCGTTGAATATTTCAAACATTAGTGACTAGTCTTTCCCACTGCCGACGCATGTACCAGAAAGACCTTTTATCCCATGCAGAAAATACTTGCCCAGAATCAGGTTCTTAACAAGCTTTTGCTCATCCTCCTTCTTGTATTCCAGCATTCCTTGGAAATCCTTTTCTTTCCTAGGAATATTGACCGGACGGATGGGTTCATCAATGATCTGTCCTGGGGATATGTTCTCCATTTGGCCCACTTCATGAGAAACAAAAAGGAGAAGAAAATATTTTCCAGGTAGAAAAGATAAGAGGGTTCCATAGCCCAATAATTTTAAACGAACTCTATAACAACAGAGGCTTGTCATATTTGCCACTTACTTGTTCCCTCTTTAAATACCTTTTTCTGCTAAAATTGAGTGGACACTTGGCAAAATTATATGGTGATGTCACCCTAACATCCACTAATGCTTGGCTACTATCAATATCAAAGAACCTTACTTGATTTAAAAACATTTTTTTTTTTTTTTTTTTTTTTTTTTTTGGTAATAAAATTTACTTTGTAGTAAGATTAAATGTCCCTGAAGTAAGTGGTTTAACTTCTTGGTTAATTAATCAGTACCATCATAATGGTTAACTATACTTAAGCTTTAATCACAGAAGAAAAAATATAATATTCTAGGAAGAAGCAGCAAGAGTATTAAAGATTCCCTGTCACATTTAGCTCTATGAATCCAGTCATCAAAGAAAAAGAACACTTACTTTCACTGTATAATTGCAATCAGTTCAAACCACATCAAGATAAATGGCAGAATAGTGTTTGTTCACACTAGTTGATGTGAAATGTATCATTTTTCACAAAGGCCTTATAAGGCAAAGCACTAACTTTTTCCTACTACCCCTCATCCCCAAAGAAATCATGAGCAGATAAAACACTTCTATTTAATATGATTTCCTAAATATTATTCTGGTTTTTGCTTGTTTGTAATCAAGTGCTAAACGTCTTAAGTTGTAACCATTTAAAGTATAACCACTGGTTAACAACCCTTTTAGATGTTAAAAATGGTCACTATTGTTAATGGCAGGTGCTAGAGAAGGATTATGCTAAGGATTAAAAAAAAAAGTCTTCAATTTCATCTCAAAATTGAGAATTAAATGAGAAATGCAAGGGAAGAAAAGGAAACACAGAGTCATGGTGGTGTTTGTGGAAGTATGTGCTAATAAGCAGGTTTTTCTTCTTTTATCTATAGGGAGGGGGCAGTTAAGAAATCTCTTTAGGCATAGATTGAGTTGAACCTGGTGTCAAAAACGCAGCTCAGAAGCATTAGAAAATTTAATGCTGCTGATTCTACAAGGTTATCAGTAGAGCTTCCCCTGTCACCCTGGGCAACTTCCTATGTTAGTTCTGGCAAGCCAGCTCCACAGGACAAGGTTATCACAGAGAACACCAGTACCTGCCAGTGTTCTGGCTTAAGTGGCAGGGAGCCAGCCTAGTGACACTCCGTCCACCTCATGCTGCAGCATCACACACCGGGATTACCAGCGCTGACAATCACCACCGTCCATCACCACTATGATATCTAAAGAGTGATCATATCGTGATTGGACAAGTCAGGACTGGGATATCTAGTGTTTCATATGCATGGTAAACTGTATGTGTCTATGCAGGAGACAGGAGATTCAAGCTATTTAGTTTTACACAAATTACTTCTGGAGTCAGTTTAAACACAGCACCATGAAGAACTCAGGATCAGCATACAGCGGGCTTCACAGCTTATACATACGCTGCATGTAAGGTACAAAAGAGTAAAACCCCTGCCATCTGTGTTACTAGATGCTTTGAGGCATAGAAACAATTCTGAGAGAGGACACAGAGGAAACAGATTCAATATATTATATGTTTATCAGTAAAGGTACATATTTGGACCCTATGTAATCCAAAAAGAATGTTTTAAACCTACTGATTTCATCCATTGATGATGAGATATACCATTATTTTATATAACACTGAAGAAGGAAAAACACTGCCAATTAAACTACAACCCATCAACAATTTTTGAAAGACGCAACCAAATTTGAGATGTTAAAATGTAAAAATTTGTATATCTCAGAATTTATGAAATACAGTAAATATTTTTATTAGATTTCATGTTTTAAAAGAAAGCTTCACTTTCCTTTTGCAAAACCTCTAACCAAGATATTTTTGGTTCTGTACAAAAATGTCAGAGACAAAATTTGCCATATTTTCATTAAAAGTTTCTCTCTGCCTTTGAATTCTCCTCAGAGATTTGAGTCTTTATAAAAATGCATAGATAAAATATAGATGTAAGCTCAACACAAACTTGATTTATTTAGCAAGCTATCTTCTAATTAAAATAAAATGTCAAGCTTTATCTAGCATCAGGAAAATATAAGGCCACAAAGAATAAAGCCAGGACGACATCCCAGTTTTCAAAGACTCAAAAGATCTTGGGGTTGTTTGGTCCAATGTTTCATCTAATACAGACTTTCTTCTAGAAAGACCTGAAGCGATCTCTATTTTCTATTTTCTAGATTCGTTATACTTGAGGGATAAAATATTCTGAACCTTTTTGTCCTGGAAAAGGAAAGGAAATTGCATAATTTTTTAAAAGTTAAATTTTCCCCACTTTGGTACCAGAAATATCTTGATTTCAGGCTTAATAGAGACAGTCAAATAAATTCCTACAAGAAGAGAGGTTGTGTTGGAAAATATGACACAAAGGGAGAGTTAAGTGTTCCTGGAAAGCTTGGGTTCTAGTTTCAGTTTGGCTACTAACTGCCGAGACCTTGGCAGTCACTTACAGTTTCTGGACCTCCGTTTTTTACTCCCATGAAATAATTAACTGATTTCCAGAATTCTTTTAGGTATAAATTCCCTGACTCCATGAAAATTGAGATGGAACACCCACTACTGGATTAAAATACAGCACAAAGCACATCAAATTTTGAAACACTCTCAATTTAGCTATATCAAATTATATATGTTGGCGTTTTAAAAAAAAGCCACACTGGCTTCTAAAAAAGTCTCCTTAATTAAGGGTAGCCCATAGGAGGAGACAAGAGTCTTGCTATTTTAAACCAGAAGAATTTAAGTATATTATATTTAGAGAAAAATATAAGAAAACTTTTAGTTTTTAAAAGATGCTTTGTTGTAGAAAGTTGCCTGTATTTTCTGTATAATGGGAGATTAGGAGATATGAAAAGTATTAGAAGAGCTTGCTACCTTTATTCTCTAATTTGGGGCGGGGGGGAGGGACACTGCACTCAGCACGTGTCCAAGTCACACACATCTATTTTGTTTTATTCTTTAGATACATATCATTTAACTCGAAATATAACTTTTCTGAAGAAATGATGTCTTTGTTTAATCTATGAAGTGTTTCTCAAATGCTACTTATAGGTTTGAGAACATAGCTGGCAAGATAGTTTCATTGATGAGATTGATTTCTGATTGATAATGGCTTAAAATTTCTGACTTCTTGAGGTATTCTAACCTATCTCAATTTAAAGTATACATAACAAAAAAAGCTGAGTAAAAACTTAAAATAATAAGTGGCTTTGTTATTTATGAAATTTTACTAATGTATTGCAAAGAAATCATTAGAAGTTGAAAAAACTAATCAGCTAGTTAATATCCTTAAAATCAGTTCTTTCAGGCACTCTGCTAATTATCATCTCATGATATAATTAAAGCAGAATTAAGTGCAGAAAGGTTTTCCAAATAAAGATTTTTTAAAGTTCTGTCGACAGACATTACAGTCCACATGTGTGTGTGATTTGGAGGCTCAAAGTTTTAATGTAACATATGAATCATGTAATGCTAAAGTAATCTATATGGTTTCTAAATAAATATTTCAACATTCGTATACCCAAAGAGTATTATCCTCTTCAAAGTGAACACCTATGTTGCCATTCTAAATATTTCTGGAACTTATTTATTTGTTCAACAAACACTGAAGGAATGATTATTGTGGGTCAGACACTATGCTCAATGCTGTGAAAACAAGGAGAAATAAGAAGTGGTCCCTATGCTCAGGAAGCTCATGGCCATTGAGGAAGCCAGTGATTCAAACAGAAAAACTGCTAGAAGTATGACTGTGAAAACCACAAAAAATGTGAGCCATCGTGGTACACAGAGGGCAGAGCCATAAAGCCTGCCTGCATGATCAGGAGAGGCTGCGCTTGGGGATGTGACTCTGGTCTCAAAGGATGAGCAGGACTTGAGCAAGAGAAGATGGAAGACCACACAGAAAGGACAGTCAGGACAGACCTGGAATGCTGAAAGAAGGAAAACCACACAGAGTTAACATGGTAGACTCTTCTGAGCATTCCCAGTGTTGGGGGCTCTTCATCCTTTGAGCCAAGCAAACACTATGCAGAGTGACACCGAGAGAACAGATGGGTAGTCAGACTGCACAGTATCATTTCTGGTCAAAATCACATAGGTTTGAAGGCAATTCCAAAGAGGGTCTCTAAATCTCTTGAACAACGAGAACATTGTTAGAATATGCTTAGAACCTGGCTTTACCTCCATTTACTGCTATATCCCTGGCACCTAGATACATACCTAGGGAAGGAACAAGCATACTGATCCAAAAGACAAGATTCATTTGTATATAATAACAACTGATATTTGATCATTTTTTCAAGGTGTTTTCCCATCATCATATACAAACCATGAAACGCTTAAAGAAATTTTCTTTATAATCATAATTCATTTTTCCTTATTTACTTCTCTTATTTTCTCTATTAGATTCTTTGAAGATGCAGACTTAATTTTACTCATCTTAGTTTCCCTAATACTAGAAGTTAACAGTAAAAATAATAATGAAGTTGTATATAGCATTTACTATGTGTCAGGAAATACACTAAATACATTATACACATTAATTATTTCATCTTCACAAACTGTCAGATAGATGCCATGATAATTCCCATGTAACAAGTGGGGAAACTGAGGCATAGAGAGGTTCAATAACTTGCCTGACATCAGAGGACTAATAAAAGAGCTGGGAGTTGAAGCCAAGAAGCTTGGCTATAGAATCCATGCGCTTAACCTCTGTTATACTGCCAAGCACAGTGTCTGGCACAAAGAATACAGTCATTAGATGCTTGTTGAATGAATTCTCTCTCTTCTCACAAATTACTACTACCATGAAAAGAACATTTTTCCCTACCTAGCAATGGAAATTTCCACTCCACAGAGGCCAAGTTTGCTGGTCTAATACCATCCTTAATAACTGCATGCAAACCTGTTAGACCACTAGTATAACAAACATAAAATCAAGATTTGGCAACTGTTATAAAATCATGTTTAAATACCTTCTAGTTCACCAATTTTTTTGGCAAATACTTTCAGTTGTTTTTTCAGTTTTCGAACAGTCTTGTCTTGTTTTTCAAGTTGCTCCATCAAATCCTAAAGATTAAAATGAGAAATAGAACAGAAAAATCAAAATGGGCCTTCGAAAAGGCAGAGAAGGAAAGCAGACACAAAATCACAGGAATAGCACTGTTAGTTTTACATAAAAGCTCCAGAAAAGCTCGCTGGTGGAGCCACCACCTGGCTAAAACTGGCAGGCATGGGAAATACAGCTACCAGAAAAGCCAAATGTTAAAATACACACTGCCATAAGATCCTTTACAGCGTGATGGAGAGCAGGCTCCCTGGGGAGTCTTTTCCAGTAGACTCCATGTAGGTAAAACAATTAAATGCTCAAAAAATGTACTGCTTTTCCAGTGGAATGCTTTCCTTCAAGGGGGAAGAGGCAAAATAAATTTTGATGAATGCTCAAAAAGTTCTGTGGGAAGTTTTAAGGATGGTTGAACTTAGGCTGGGGCTTTTGACACCTGTGTGTGAGAAGCACTGTCTCTATGAGACCCACCCTTTGGAGATGCTAAAATTAGTCCTATAACTTAGAAGTCTGGGGAATTAAAAGGTAAGATGAAAAAATAACCACAGAGAAAGAATAAAGAGTGGCATGTGGCATAACATACACGTAAAATTTCACAGGTGATATAATTTTTCTTATAGAGAAAAACGGGAGCAATTCCTAATGCTTCATGCCCCCCAAAAAAAAGAAAAGAAAAGAAAAGAAAAGAAAAGAAAAGAAAAGAAAAGAAAAGAAAAGAAAAGAAAAGAAAAGAAAAGAAAAGAAAAGAAAAGAAAAGAAACACAGTGCATTCAAGGGGAAGGGGTAAAAAAGTCTGTGATGACTGGCTAATTAATCCAGAATTCTCAGATCACAGGCATAGTTAAGAGATCAATAAGTAAGAAGAAAATGGGTAACAGCAGACTTGAAGCTTAGGGGAGAAGTCAATCAGTGATATCCGTGGTTATTATTCAGGTTATGGTGAAGAAAAGTATTTACAAACACAAATACTCATTCCCTTTGCAGTTTAAGACAGCACAGATTTAGATAGTAGACCACTGAGTCAAAGGGAACAGGTGCTAACATTTCAAAGTGTTCATTTGTGTTTCCTGGATTGTACTTTATCTTTCAAATCACATTTTGCTTCCATCACACTGTAAGCCTAGTGTTAATAACAAATCCAACGTGACAATGGACGCAAGACACTGATAGAGGTGACACCACTGGCTACGAGACAGCTGTGGGAAGAAACAGGTTTCGTGAAGGTTTTTGAAGAGATTCCTGAGGAGGGGCGGGCAGCAGTGTGCTGTTCAATAATAGAGGCTACAAGTAGCAAAGGAGACAACAGAAATGCACTCCGAAGTTACATACAATCATCCGCTTGTAAAGTGAAATCCGGTATGATTGATACTTCTTAGGGTCATCTGCATATAATTCCTCAAAATACTGAAAAAACAGGCACAATGGATATTTGTTTTTCTGTGTGTCTTTGAGGGGAATTCAACTTCTCAGCAAAATCAATTTAAAAATATTTTTAAAACCCAAATAATTAAAGTATATATTCTTGAAAGGCTCTGCCATTGCCTTCTGATCTTTCCAGTATAGATGATTCTAATTATATATATATGCATATATATATATATATATATATATATATATATATATATATATATATATACACATACACATATATTTTCACATGCTCAGAGGACACAGGCAACATCATTTCACGTGCTCAGAGGACACAGCTCAGGCATCATCATTTAGCAGGTAAATAGAGCAGTGGCGATTATTCCTCAGATAAAGCTGTTATTTCACTCCTCAGACCTGCTCACGAGTTGCTCTATTTTTTTTTTTTCCGCTGTCAGCAGTAGTGACAAGGGCAAGAAGGCAAATGAAGTGAAAGCGAGAATCACGGCAAGGTGGCACTCTTGTCTGAAGTTGTAAAGGCTGGTGAGAAGCTGCGTGCCCTCCTTCCCTGAAAGGCAGCATGGGGAAGGCCTGTGGAGTATGCTTCCAAGAGGAGGGAGAAAGGCCATCTTTGTGTTTGTGTTGGGAGGCAGGTGGGTAAGAGGGTTACACAGGGTAGGGTTTCTAAGAACACTAAGCCTAGATCTCACTGCTGCTTTACTATTCTGCTCAAGTGTTTCCTAAAGAAATGCACAATTACGAATGAGAAACTGTATAATGGTTTTGAAAAGTGCATTATTCCCTACACTTAAGTTTGAAACCATTCTCCAGAGTGAGGTATGAGAAGCAGCTGACTTGAGGAGGCTTTTCTAAAACTCAGAGAAACTCATTAACTAGTCTCTTCCCCTTAGAATTTGAAAGCTTGATTTACTTTTCTATTAGCTATGAAAAACTGCCAAGAAAATTCATCCTGCAGACAAGCTTGCAAAAAAAATGGTGAATCAACTTAGCAAAAAAAAAAAAAAAAAAAAAAAAAAAAAAAAAAAAAAAAAAAAGACTCTGGGAACGTGCCATCCAGAAGTATCTTGATTTCACGGTTTCACCTTGTATTTTAAGATAATCATTCACAAGCACAGCATTTATACACTGATGAATCATTATAATTTAGCATATTTATCAATACTTAAGCATTCAAGCACTGTTAGTTCAATTTAAGCAACAATACACTTGAGAGTAATAAAATGACATTTTAAAAATATTCCATGATTCAGAATACTTTCTCCCACGAATTAGTAATATTTCAGTCACTCTGGAAAGAGTCCAACACCTGCTGTCACTTGCCTCTCCCATTCCCACAACAGAGCCTCATGCAGCAAGCTATCCTCAGAGGGACAGACAGTGAGAAGAATACTTTTAGGTTTTATGTCTAATTTAATAAAAGGTGGGTGAATAGATGACACTAGAAAACTATTTGTAACATAAATGATCACTAATGGAGTTTCGGAGTGGTAATTCAGACTGTTAAATCTGCAGAGAAAATCCAAACTATTTTTATTAAAGGTCATTAAACCCTGAACAACAACAAAAAAGACTGGTCACTACCAAGTCTTAATAGCTTTTCTCAAAACTAGGCTGACATGACAATATAGATTTTATGTAGAAATGTGGAGCTATAACTTTTCAATGACTTTTAATTTAATAAATATATTTATTAAACTTAAGTAGGTTTAAAAAATCTGTAATAAGTTATTTTGTGACAGAAATATTTTAGAAAATATTTCCTGTAAAAGAAAGAAAGAGGAAAGAAAAGGAATAAGAAATAACTTGGACTCTGTGCCAGCACTCAGAATCTGGCAAGAGAAAAAAAAAATATTCATTGCACTTCTGTTAGAATAAAAAATGTACAAACTTGAATCCTGATGTCCCTGTACCCTGACCTGGGGTCAGGTATGCTGACGCTGTCCAATGTCCACCAAAAGCCCCTGCTTCGTTCTGCCAACCACCTTTCCTGACCGTCACTCCAACCCCACCTGTCTGCTAGAGATGGAGGCAGGAATGGCCTTCGTGGCTGCCTAGGGACCAAAGGTCAAAAGAGCTTGTTCCTGGTCTCTACTGTGACAACCACATAACAACCTCCTTATAATGGCAGGGTCTGAAGCTGAAGTGGAGAAAGGAGGTCACCTGAGTTCTCAAGGATAGCAAAAGCCCAGCACACAGTCAGGGGATATCTCCCAGACCCTCTAAGCTAGGTCTAAGAATGCTCAGACACGCCAGAGCCTTCTGTCAGAAACACAACCTGTGCACGTGCCTTTTTCATTTCTACCAACACAATCACATTTTCCTTACTCCATCTCTGCTAGAGAAAGAGGGTATCATGTGTGAGGCAGTGAGTCTCTCCCAGTCAAAAAGGATGTGTTTGATCAAAAAGCAACTAGGACCGTGCTGGAGGGCCAGGCACTGCCTACTAAGGAATGCACGGACCTGGGCGCCTCTCCTTACCAAATTTTCGTTGGTTAACCTGGTGATCTCGTGTTGCAGGCTGGCCTCGATGCGGGCCTCCGGGGGCAGCTGCAGGTTCTGGGCCAGCAGCTGCTGCTGCCGGTTGTTCTCCTCCTTCAGGCTCTGGATCTCTCCACGCAGGGCTTCAGCCTCATTCTCGTGGCTCCTCTTCTGTGACTGGAGCTGGGATTCCAGGAGCCTGAGGAGAAGCCACACAGGTTGAAAAGGGAGAGGACACCTGAGTCTCTGCTCGGTGGGTGTGACACTTTGTGCTCACTTGCAAGGGCAGGAAGAGTTTGTGTAACTTCTGATTTCATTAAAGTCAAGAAGCTCAAACAAGGGCCAGCAACGGAAACAAGCGCTCTCATATTTGTGTCTTTCTGAATTGTGGACCCTGCTACAAATATATCATCTTCAAAGGCTCTAACAAATAGAAAAGTTTAAGCTCTTTTGAAAAGTTTATAAGAAATGATGACTAAAATAATCAATTTAAAAGACACAGCTTTAATCTGGTTTACAACATTTACAAACTAGCATTTGAGTTGGCAAAGACAATACCTTTGTCACAGAGTAACTACACTGCAGAGGGCAAGATTACAAATTTCCAATGTAATTAAATATGCCTTTAAGAATTTCAGTGTTACTAATTTCAGGCAGAGAGTGTGCCCAGGGTCTCATTTCTACTTTCTACTCTTATCTCTGAAGGACAGAAAGGCTTGAGTGTGACTCTGAAATATATACAGATTTTCCCAAATGCAGATCGTTCTAAAACTTCATATACATGCATTTTAAATTTGTCATCTTCTCTCTTCCCCATAAACTTCCATATCAATAACAGAATCCTAACAAGACATGGTTTTAGAACTGAGATGTTAATAGGATGAACAAAGTGGTTACTGCTTCTCTGAGCAAGCATGCAAGTCAGCTGTGCCTGTAAGTAGACCAGGGTGTTGGTGGTGAGAATATCAGCACCCCTCATTTACCATGCACCCCCACTCCTACATCCACCCCTTTTCCAAACACAGAACCAAGTTATGGTTACAAATTAACTAACACAAAGAAAGAAATGACGTCCTTTTATCCTAATCCCCTTTGTTATCAACTGCTGGGCAAAAGTTAGTGATGCCATTGCAAGCAAATTGTTAACAACAGACTGAAAATATCTAGTAATTATAAAATTTCAAAGGAATCTGAATAACACCACAAAGTTAATAATGATGGCTTGTGGTTAGAACAAACAAAGCAGAATAAGCAGGAACTCCTTGAAAAAGAAGTTAAGTATTTTAAAAATGTAATTACTAACGTAGTATTTTTATGAGATTTTAAAAATACAAATATCCCTAGAGCAGATGAATGTCTATGTTAGAAAGCTGTGTTGTTTCAATTTTATTTTGCTTTCCCCTAAACACATGTAATGTGTTGAGTTTAGGTAATTATTTTGAACTGCAGCAATGCAGGAGACCCCCCCCCTGATTTGTGGTCTCACATATCAGAATTTCACAAGAATCACATAGAAGGCCAAATTATGCACTCAACACTGCTGTTAGGCAGCATGGTACTAATATAGAAGACCGCACTGTCTCAATGCCACAGGTGCTTATGTCCTTTCGATTAGTCATTATTCCAAACAAGAAACCACTAAGTAATAGGTATTAATCTCTCCCACGGTAATTTGGGCTCTAGTTGAAAGGTTTTGTCTTTTTTCCCAACTCCTACTGGGAGATTCACAAATTTTAGCGTGTGAAAGAAAGATCCTTCACTTATGGCCTGCAACTCCTATATTCACTATCAATCCATTTCAGCTTTAATTGCATCCTTTAGTGGAGAAGATTTTTAAGAAGGTGTTGGCTGAATGTTCTAAGTTTTGCTGAAATTTACCCAGGAAGACAATTAATGTATAAGAAACATAGAAGTTAAAGTCAGGAAGACACTGTTAGTAAGAGAAACAACAAATTAATAACATTCCATTTTGAAGAGACAAATATAACCTGTTGGCTTGTTTTAACCCTTCATAAACCAGCCACAGCTCTCCATCCTCATTCAACTCATGGCAGTCCATAGCAGGTGATCTTCCATGCAAAAGGAACAACAATGCAAAACACAAAGGGATACAGGACGGTCATGAGATGATGATGGACAAGAGCAGCACATGGTATTCCAATACTTAATTAAGTCAATGAGACTTTTTTTATTAATTACAAATGACTTTAAGACATTATCACAAAAATTATTTTTGGTTAATTTTTTAAAAAATGGGTAACATATGACATCACATGTCAATGGGTAGAAAGTAAAACAAAATACAATCAAGGAGTGAGAAGCACTTTTTCTGCAAAATCTGAAATGAATGAAAAGGTGAGAAAGAGGTTCTGTTTTTAACATTTTATTCAGCTAGCAAAGTGATCTTATATGTCACATATTATATTAGAGACCAAGCATGACAATCACACACACATAGAACAAAAACTTCAGCTACTGTCTTCATGGGGCAATCTTCACAATCCATTTCAAAATGAATGAAGCTTTAAGTCTTCTAAGTAGAAACTGGTTTTCACTTAATAAAATCTGCTTTCCTATTTTTAAAACTGTCTTAAGAAATTCTTATAGGGGTAACTTATAAATAAGTATATGTCCAAAGTTCTCAGCTTTTATGACATGATTTTTAAAAAGATTTTTTGTGTCAAAAATTAACGTTAAGATCTGGAGAAACTGCTTTTCTTTTAGAGATGTGACACATTTTAATAAAAGTATGTATAAATAATAAATAATAATGACAAAGTCAAGTACAGGTTTTTTTCTACCTGGAGTATAAAAATAATATTTTGGGGTATTTGCCATCAGACACTGTCCTACATCCTTCCACGTGTATGATTTCATTTAGTTCTCCTAGTAACCCATCATGTATCATTTGCGACACTGCAAAGGGAGACAATGAGTCTTAGAAATAAGATACCTGTGGAGGTTACACAGCTGGCAAGTAGCAGAGCCCAGGGCTATCTGACTCCAGAGTCCAGGTTTTTACTCTTCCTACTAGACTTCTCTTTATATGATGTGTACATAAAGCACAGGCCAGAGAATGCTCTTCTGTTTACCATCTCCCCTTGGAGAGTTTATCCATTTTCATGGTCGCAATTATATTATTATATGTTGATGACTTCAAAATTTGTATCTCAGTCTATATACCTCTCCTATTCCAGATCTATATTTTCAACTGCCTATGGATTTCTCTCCTTAGATGTCTTCCTAGCTCCTTAAATTCATTACTTATAAATCTGCTGGTCATCTCCACCCTGAACTTCCCCACACTACAGACCCAGGATCATGAAATGGCATCACCACATCCAACCAAGTATCCAAGCAGACACTTGACAGCCACCCTCCATAATTCCCTATCCCTCACCCGCACATCCAAGCCACAAGATTTACTGGCTTCATCTTATGTATCTTATGTATCTTTCAAAGTGTCCCCTTTCAATCTCAACTGCCACCAATCACATCAAAGTCACTGTAATCAGTCATTTAATTACAGTAATAGCTTCCTAACTAGTCTTTATGCCTTCAATCTCTTTCTACTATAATCTGTTCTCTAACATAAAAGCCAGGGCTAGCTTTCTAAAATTCCAATATCATATCATTCTCCTACTTAAAACATTTCAACAACTTTGACTGTCATTGGAGTGATGTCCATATTGTCTTGGCTGTCTCCCCAACAGCCTACAAACTCTGTGAAAGCAAGAACTACATTTATCTTCCTTACTATTCCCAGTGTGTGACACAAGGCCTAACATGAAAGTGGCATGCAATACATATCTGGTGATTGAATAGCAGAGTGGATGGGTGGACAGTGTAATATAGCTCTTTCTATACTAACACATTCTTACATAGAAGTTATGCTTATACTTTATTCATAAATTAAAATTTAAGTTTAATCCAATACTTCTTAAGCATTCTTCATTCTTACCCATAAAACAAGAATAGTACCTTAAATTTTGTATGGCAATATTCTTTAGTCTGTAAAGTATTTCTGTATACTAGCCCTGATATGACACAGCAGGAGACTTAGACTGCACACTTGTAACACAAATCCCCAGAATCATCTTTCTCCGTGATCATAACATGTTCTCTTAAGCATGTAGCCTGTAAATTCAGAGTTCAAAAGCAAAGAGGCTCTGTTGGGAAGTGGGGGTGGTAGGAAGGCTGAAGGAATTGCAGAGATGAGACTTCACTCTGTGATAATCTCAGCTACAGGGGAAGTCTTTAGTAAAGTTTCATCATTTAGGGCTGTGCAAATCCTGTACCTTCAGTCAGACTACCCAAAGCTCTTGGGTGCTAAGTGCTATCTATAACTTCACTTGTGTTTGTGGTAAATAAGATAAAATCAGAGTTAGGATTTTCTCAAAACACCTTAGGAAATGTGACAAATACTTGGTCTTAAATATCAGGGTCCCATCCAAGTACTCTTGTAGAATGATATGGCCAACACTGATATGATTCCAGATACTTCCTCACTTCTCTCCACTCTGAATTTCAATTACTGAAAGCTAAAGTTGCCCCTATAAGCCTTTACAAATAACCAACCATCCTGAACAAAATATGAAAGTGACTACCCAAGACAGTCCAACAGTGAGCAATTGGTTTTCCTCTCAAGGCTAAGACCCTAAATAATACAGAAATATCATCCCTTGATGTAAAGAACATTCATTCCCCTTGACCCCTCTCATCAATAATGCTACCTCAATATTATAACTGAGATTTTAATGAGGAATTTATTAGAAACCTTGAATTCCCTCTGAAGGTCAGATGGTGTCTAGTAAAGGTCAGATGATGTCTATATAAACACTCTGACTTACTGTACAAAAGACTGGCTTAAAGACAAAGATACACATGACTATGATTATACCAAAATGAATAAAAAGAAAATGGGCTTACCTGTTTGTTTCTTTCAAACCAATGTATGCTTGTGCTATTTCACCTTTATCTTTCATTTTTTGCACATCTTCCAAAAGTATTGTGGAATCTGTCATTGTATTCTGAAGGGGGAAATGACACATTTCCACATTAACAGTCAACTCGAAAGCTTTAGACCACACACAACATTGCTCTTTCCTCCAGAAGAGAGGATTTATGTGTTCCCCCAGAGCTCCTGGTCCCACCAGAGTGCCAGGCCTGGCCCCGTGCAACTACAGAGGAGGGTCTGGCACAGGCAGCTAAGAGCAAGAGACACCTTCAGTCCCTCTCTTGAAAATCCCTATTGCTCTACTACAAAGGTGGTGAGATTCTAGAGCACCAGTGTCCTGTAAATAAAATCACTGATGGGCTGTGTGTATTTTACATTATGTGTAAAAATATA